ATTCCAGGAATGCAGGGATGGTTCAATATTCACAGATCAATACATGTTATACACCAAATCAATAGAGCCAAAGACAAAAACTACATGATCATCTCCATAGATGCAGAAAAAGCTTTTCATAAAGTCCAACACGCATTCATGATAAAAACCCTACAGAAAATAGGAATAGATAGTCTTTACCTCAATCTGATCAAAGCCATCTATGACAAACCAATGGCTAATATACTAAGTTATCAAAAATAGAAAGTTTTCCCTTTAAAATCAGGAACAAGACAAGGATGCCCTCTGTCACCACTCCTATTCAACACAGTTCTGGAAGCCTTAGCCAGAGCAATTAGACAAGAGAGAGAAATAAAAGGAATAAGGATAGGAAAGGAAGAACTAAAATTATCATTATATGCAAATGACATGATACTTTACATGGAAGACCCCAAAAACTCCACAAGAAGACTCCTTGAATTAAGCAAAAAATTCAGCAGTGTAGCTGGATACAAAGTCAACACACAAAAATCGATAGCATTCCTATGCACAAAGCAATAAACAGACTGAGAGAGAAATTAAGGAAACAATACCTTTCCCAATAGCATCCAAGAAACTGAAATATTTAGGAATCAATCTAACAAAAGAAGTAAAAGAGCTACTCAATTAAAACTACACAGTACTCTGAAAAAAGAGATCGAAGAGGATTTCAGAAAATGGAAAAATATTCCTTGTTCATGGATAGGAAGAAACAAAATTGTGAAGATGGTCATACTACCAAAACTGCTGTACAGATTCAATGCAATTCCCATTAAGCTACCATTAGCATACCTCACAGATCTAGAGAAAACATGCCTTAAATTCATCTGGAACCAGAACAGACCCAGAATAGCAAAGGCAATCCTGGGCAATAAAGACAGGTCAGGTGGAATCAAAATCCCTGACCTGAAATTTTATTACAAAGCTACTGTAATAAAATCAACATGGTACTGGCCATAAAACAGACCAGAGGATCAACAGAATAGACTGAAAGAAACAGACACAACCAAAAACACACTCAACCACCTAATCTTTGACAGAGGGGCCAAACAAACTCACTGGAAGAAAGATATCCTCTTTAATAAATGGTGCTGGAGAAACTGGCTTGCCACTTGCCAAAGACTGAAAACAGACCTCAGTCTATCACCATGCACCAAATTCAAGTCAAAATGGATCATAGATCTGAATATTAAAACAGAAACACTAAATCTATTGGAAGAGAAAGTAGGTAAAAATCTTGACGACACAGGGGTAGGCAGACCATTCATGAACAAAAACCGAACCGCATGGGAAATACTTCAAAGATTCAACAACTGGGATCTCATCCTACTGAAAAGTTTCTGCACATCTAAAGAAATCACCAGTAGAGTAAACAGAAAACCCACAAATTGGGAAAAAATTTTAGCTGACTGTCCCTCGGACAAAAGTCTTCTATCTAGAACATATTAAGAATTTAAAAACATCAGCCTCCCCCCAAATTCAAAGACCCAATCCAAAATGGGCAATTGAAATGAATACACACTTCTCAAATAAAGAAATATAAACGGCAAATAAATACATGAGAAAACGTTCAATGTCATTAGTCATTCGAGAAATGCAAATTAAAACAACACTGAGATTGCATCTCACCTCAGTCTGAACAGCTATCATTAAGAAATCAACCAATAACAAATGCTGGCGAGGCTGTGGAGAAATAGGAACCCTTCTCCACTGCTGGTGGGAATGCTGACTGGTGCAGTCACTGTAGAAATTAGTTTGGAGATTCCTCAGCAAACTAGGTCCAGAGGTCCCACTCAACCCAACTATTGCCTTCTGGGTATTTTCCCACAAGATCTGAAAATGGACGAAGAGCTCTAAATCAGGTCAAATCAAGATGGTTTTCCTGGTTAGCCTTTCAGGGAACTATCAAATAGGTCAAATCAGAGTTAAACACATCATATTATAGAGTGTTTACAGCATGCAAAATCCGTAACAGTTAAATCCTGGAACCAAACTATATGTCCCATCAACAGATGAATGGTAGAGAAAATGTAATACAATGCCAGTTCTCTGAGATTAAGATCGTGAGGAACCTCCTTCCTTGGTCTGTTCTTTCAGTGGGGCTGATGGTTTTCACTGCAGTGATAAATTTTTGGCTGTTCATGGCTATCTCAGAATTGGAGGGGCAGAAAGGACAGAAAAATTAAAGGTCACAAATATCACTATTCTCTCAAGGCCCAGGCACATTTCCTGAATAAATGTTTTCCTGATGGCTCCCAGATTTTGATTCTTTTTCAAAGTCAAGGAAAAGTTGATTCTGACAATTTCCCCCCAATTTTCTTATGACTTTTGCTGAGAAAATTTTTGAAAGCTCTTACTCCACAATTCTTGTTGATACCGTTCTGAAGATCTACTTTTCACTTAGGATTCTGTTGCTTTTATAATCATAAATAGCGAGACCTAACCTAAATATGTTAAAAGTTTATGCTTATTACAAATGTATACACTTGAACACTCATTTTTCCTATGGAATAGGGAAATTTCTTTCTTGATCTTTTATTTGAATGTCATTTTCCAAAATACAATGCTCAAAATCCATACATTCTCCCCACATTTGGACAAATGGACATTTCCTAAACTCTAGATCAACTTCTGTTTCATCAATATTAACATAATATACAGCTATGTTAAAGGAATCATAGTGCATTAAAATTACAAGTCTTTTAAAAGATACATGTTGATTAAAAACGTGAAGAATGTAGCAGTACGCCAACAACAGTAAGAAAAAAGAATGCAGGGAACTGTTCAAATGTTCTGCAGGATCTAAGATTTTATACATAGGGGGTTTGGTTTTATAATGAATTTATTTTCAAAACTGAGCAAATTCCCCAAAATGTCTACTAGCCAGAACAACTATGATACTTCACACAGACTCTCTTGGGAACAGTCTGTCACAACAATCTTTTGAATTACTTCCTAGCAGAAGCAGGGAAAGCATAAAAGTAAATTCAAAGGGAATATCACACATATTCTCAGAACTCTAGAAAATTAACTTCAATGCCATGTCAGACATCTGCTGAGAAAGTACATTTTAAACTCCTAATTCAGTAAAACAGTTTTGTTTGTAAGAAGTTGAAGAGTGCAAAATTCATACTAGATACTCATAGGTTAGTATTAGCCAGTGATCTATCGCTATATGGGTGATAATAGAGAAAAAAAGATAAAGTATGGGGAGGGAGAAGAAAGGGAAGCCGGAAGATTCTAGAAGTTAAAGAAGACTAGACTAAGAATACACAGCACAAAATTGGGACTGACTAGATGTGGATCATTTATTGTACTCTCTTAAGGTGCTAAGCTCTTAACACTATCCTGATAATAAATTTTATGTTGTAATTCTAAATGCAATCAGCATTTTTCGTGCTCGTAGGGCTGGGATCAAACCTGAGCTAGCACACACTCAGTAAGCACCCCACAACCGAGCTGAGTCACTAGGCCACAACTGCAATTTTAACAATGAGAAGAAACTCCAAAGTAGTGAAACACAGGAAAGCATACAGATTAGGACAGTCACATAAAACTGTACATTAGAAAATTAAAAGTACTTATTTTACTTTCAAAATAATTATCTTAATAAAGGATTGATTAATATACCTGGTTGTTTGTTAATTTGAAAATAAGTAAAACATTTTGGCTAGATATTGTTATAACTGGATTTTTTATAATTTTTCATTACTTAAGCTTAAATTATCTCCCATGGTAAAATATTCCATGGTAAAATACTTTGCCGTGAATTACTGCCCAAATTAACTGCATGTATATGCCAGTATTTAAAATAATTTTAAGTATTCAAGGTATTTTTTAAATGAAGGATCAAAAATATTTCTGACAAAGTGATTCTATGTGAGTGTGAGTATTTTTAGATTAAAAATTAGAAAATAATAAAATAAAATCATGGGTTAATGATCTCTCAAAATAAATTATTTAATATACAATTATAAACCTGATTTACTATTTCTGCGTAATGTGATAGTTTATCATATTTTACTTATCATTTTCTATCTGATAATATGGGTCTGTCCTTATGTGAGCAAAAGTTAATAAAGTACATTTTTGTATAATCTACATAATAAAACTCTTAGTATTATAAATACTTCCAGATATACAGCTGAAAAATGACATCTAACTTTCCCCCCAAAAGATTTTGGTATTAATGTAGACCAATAAAGTAATTTGCTAAATCAATATTAATTATACAACTCTTCCAATATGACGATCTTTGTTGAAAAGTTTTCAGTGAAGAAAAAGTCAAGACTAGGTATGTGGGGATAGGAAGGGATGTGGAGCCATACGTACAGGGGGAAGGAAAGATGGCGGGGTGCTGTGTGAATATGTTCCTGATCCCCAAGAGGACTGCGGTTACAGCACATCTCACACATATGCCAATAAACAAAAAGAAACTTAAAAAAAGAGTTGAAAAACTTCATGTGAATAGTGACTAAATTGGTATTCTGAGAAATGTTCAATCTCAGTGGAATTTAAATGAATTTCTCGTAATACTCTGTACCTTAATTCTGTAATTGAAATGGAAGAATGATTGGTCATAGCTTTGCACCGGCACCATTAGAGACACTAAATTTCATTTCCATACACTTTAAAACTGTTATAAAGGCAAAGCAACAGGAAATCAAAGATCCTCTTGGTGTACATAAACTCAACGTTTGTTGTTTTAATCTGAAAACTTTCTGAATGTTGAAGGAAATATCACATCATTCTGAAGAAAAATACTGACAGAAGGGCATAACATATCTGTTTATCAGTCTTTGACAACCTTTCCTGACTGCCACCTTTTTGAAGAAGAGCTACCATGAGGTCCCTTCGCCTCACCTGACAAATGCACATCTCTTCTTTTAAACATGTCCAGGAAATTTTCAATCCCATGTACTCTTTAGCATAATATCTATGTAAGAAGCTTAAATTTCAGTGAAAATTTCAGAGGAACTTACCCCATTTTTTGGAAAAGCAATCCATCCCAGGTCCCCCATGACAGTGCGTGAATCCAACAAATTCACTGCAAGACAAATAACAAAACCTGAGTGAAATGTATAACAACATACCTCTACTTTGATAGTGTATACTAGTTATACAACTGAAATTGTTCTAAAATTTCTCTATGATGAATGCAAGAGGCAAAATGTGTAGGAAACATTATTAGGACAAAAGAGAGCAAGTGATTTTAAGTAAACAGTTGTAGAAAGAACAACCAAAACACATAGATATCCTAAATTTCTTGACAAATTAGAGGACAGAAAAGGAACCAATAATAAGAATAAGGAAAAATGAAAGAAAGGCTCACAGAAAGAGCCCTACGCAGCTCTTATAAAAGGCATTCAGTTTTAAGATTAAGCTGCAGCCATAAAATTGTAGATAACATTTTATCTTCTCCTAGAAAGCTGTTATGAAGCAATTAACAAATAATTTACATCCAACAGCAATAAACTATTCCCAAACTTGTGACATTTGTTGTGATATTAGCCAAAATCTGTAATCCAAATTGGAAGTTTAATTAAGAAATAAATCTATACATCCTTAACCAAGACAAGAAAACTGTCTCAATTCTTCTGGTTGTTACTACAGCTAACAATCCAATGCATTTCCAAGGAGAGCGTCCATTAGATAGGAGCACAATCGAAAATGTGCTTCACATAAAGCTATTGGATACATTATGTCTGGAAAGTCTAACACATCAGAAATTTCAGGATGGAAATCTGAGTATCATAGTTATAAAGGAAGCCATGGATGAGTAGGTATGCATACATCCACAGACACACACACACACACACACACACACAAACACACACATATCCATGGTAGCCAATGCTCTCCCCAAGAAATTAAAGTGGTTTAAAGGTCTAATCAAATGCTTTAGACCTGGGTCACAGATTATTATCTGTCTTAACTATCACTCCTAATCTGCACGTATCTAACTGACCTGCTGTACAACTGAACCACTCTGAGTGTGGCATACAGATGCAAAAGAGAAACCTGGGTTATTACTAGGAAGAAGTACTGAAGCATTTCATACTACATTCACACGCCCATGTCTTGAAATGCAAAAAATTCTAAAAGGATGATTCTGTCTGGAATTGTTAAGCCTAGAGTACAAAAGAACAGCAATTCACAGGCTAAGAAATACACTATCATACTCTGTGTTATAGCTTGTGTCTAGATGTCCCCCAAAGCCTAGCGCATTCGTGGGGCGGGTTTTTAGAGTTTGCGATTACTTCATGGTCCGTGCTGGGATTACAGGGGTGAGTGCTGCATCCGCCCTGGGGCGGGAGCCTAAATACAATAGAAGGGAGGGAAGCAGCTTGCTGTGTGCTGCTCCCTTTTTGCTCTTGCTGCTTTCTCTTTTCTGCTGCCATGAACTATTGCCCTCTGCCGTGTGCCACCCTGCCTTGGAGCCAGCCAAGTATGGACTGAAACTTCCATGGATTGTGAGCTAAACAGACGTTTTTTCCCTTAATTCTGGGCATAAGGTTTTTGTCTCAGCAATGAGAGAAAAGTAACCAAGATACTTTATAGTAGAACATATGATGTAAAAGAGCCATGACTGAGAAAATCAGGACCACAGTTTAAATTAAAACTTTGTACATTATAAAAACTGTGTGCATTTAACCTCCATTATTCATTATTTTACTTCACAGTAGCACAAACTACTAAGACAGAAGTACATACAGTACATATCTGACAAACTCAGTCTGTAATATTGTAAGCAAAATAAATCAACAATGTAAAATTATAGAAAACACAGAAATATGCTAATTCTCACTTACATGTCATTATTGTAAAACATACTTGATTTTTCTCACTAACTTCTATGCCCCTTAACTATAAAAAACCACCCCGTATAATATTTGTATCATCTTTAGCCTACTTTCATCTTATGGATTCATGAAATAATACATCTGCATAACTGCTATTTGTAACAGAATGAGGCATTAAGAGAAAAATGACTGCTTAAAACAACGAAAACAAACCCAAACTGCTTTGTTACCAACTGATCCTGAGAGACCAGCTACTACCTCTAATTTTTCAGTTGTAACTACCCTCTTTTCTGTGCAATCTCCAGATTTCCCAGGGAATAAGGCTACATTAAACACCAATGTCCTTGTCCTCATTTTAGTTTTTCTAGGACACTAGGGTTATGTCTAGACATGACTAAATACCAAGGGAGGGCAGAACCCAAATCGTGATGTTTATTCAATTTAATGATTCATTGGGCTCACCGTTGATACTGCGTAACGGTGTATCTGTGCAGAGCACATAAAGTAGAGCAAATTGGCAAACCGAGGCTGTTACTGCCACAGCCAATAGAACTTTATTCTGTAGTGGCAAATGATGTGCATAGGAATTCCAGGAATTCATAACCAGCCTGCCTGGAGAAACAGCATTCCTTGTGGATTTGAAGGATTCATTTCACCAACAGAATCTCAAGTGTTTCAAAATCTAGTTGCTCTCACTTAGATTAGCTTTAATATACATTATTACTTTTCTTCTTTTTTTGGTTGAAAACATGTAGAAGTAAATGAAAGACCTCAAAATGCTGCGCTGACTGCTAACAGGATTTATTGGAAGTTTTTAATATTGTAATATACTGAAAATCCATGAAAATAAGTACAATCAGTATCTATATAATATTACTTGTGATTTTTTTCAAAATGATTTCTTCAGATAAATAGAGGAGGAGGTTTATAGGAAATACGTGCATATCATTTTCATACACTACTGTATAATCTGGCTTTCCTCCTGGAAAGAAATGATTTCATAAAATTCATAGTGCGAAGAAGATATTCACATATGTCATTATTGAATTCCAAAGTGAGAAAAGAGAGCAAAATTAGGTGTTTTAGGCAATTACTTGATTTGCTCATGCAATACAGAAGAGATGCTTTAGAAGTTCCTCAAATGTCCCAGAGAAAATAGCTGAAGTTTATTCTATATTTTTCAATAAAAATTTATTATAGTAAAGACACATGGTGGTCAATCCCCCTCAAAATATTCTAAATACTCCAAACACTCCCCATTTTCAAACAAACCCATTCCATCCTTCTTAGCAACATATCTAGGTTTTATTTATTTGTTTGTTTTTCAAGAAACCATGGTCAATCCTCCTTTTCTTAAATCTGAGTTAGGTGTTTTCATTGAATGTTCTATTAATACCCAATTTGTAGAAAACTGAAGTGTGTCATTTCCTTAAAAGAATATCATATTAGACTCACGCACCTCGCCTGACCTCAAACAGCTGAAGAGCTAACTAACAGTCCAATAAATGAAGCATCTGGCGAGTGGCCAAATCCAAGGGTGCCAGTGAATCAATATGCACCAGTGCTTCTCATCATGGGTATCTGATGAGGTCTGGAGACATTTTTGACTAAGAGAACTTTGGGGGAGCAGGTAGGAAAGTATTTCCTACTGGCAATGGTGGGAAAAAGTCAGGTATGAGGCTAAACATTCCACAACGCATGACGAAGGGCCCCAGGAGCCCATTTCCAAGTCCCCAGGAGCTCAATCCGAGCCAGTTCTAACAGTGCCAAAGTCAAGGAGCATTGTTCCACACCCACTGATGCACTAAAATATCTCTGCCTTCACATTTCTCTGTAGAGCGCACTGTTAGCATGATCCTCATTAATAGAAGTCCACATATTCCGGAGGCATTCTTTATGAACCAAAACAGTACTCTTATGGAAATAAAATAATCTTGCTCTTATGTGGAAAATGAAAATAATGTATTTTAATGACACAATTCCCCTCAATTATTTTTCACAGAATGCCTGTAATTATTACAGGTATGTATATTTATGCTTTAATAATTTCTCAACATTCGTGATGGTATATGTGAAAAATACTGTCACTGATGTCATGAATACCTCTCTTTTTCCTACTAGTTATATGAAAAATAAAAACGTTAAAGGATAAAAAAATAGGTAAAACACAGCAGTATAGACAGGGTATATATAAATGTGAATTGTTAGAAGCTTATTTCCCAGTTGTACTGCTGAAATTATTAAAAGGGGGGCATGGCAGTAATACAGTACAATCACTAAGTGTCTTCTGTGCTATGATTACAATAATTAAATTGTTCTGAGCAGTATATATGCTTGTTGTAAATTGCAATGAATACACAATGACTATTGATCTTCATTGTACAACTTAATTAAAACTTGTCCGGGAGAAGCCACTAATGAATGTAATTAGAGGAAATGTTTGATACCACAGTTACTCTGGAAGACATTAATTAGATATCAGAAATTTTACTGAAAATGTTTTTATTCTATTATTTATACTTTAAAATGTAGAAACACAATTAAACTAAGAGACAGCCTTCAAAGTCACCGTCCCTCGGCTATCAACCACATAATTATGACCTTCATATAACCAATATGAAGATGGTTATACTGACTGACTGGTATTGTAATCTGCAATTAATAAGGTGGATTCTCCAGGAGAAATAACTCTAAAACAGGTCCCGAGTATATACTCAAAGGTAAATACCTAAGGTTAACATAAGTGGGAAAAATTTATTAAGATAAAAACTTTAGTAAGTAAATTCCATTTACCTGTTTGCCCAAACAGATAACAGACTCTCACAGAGACTAATTCTAAATAACGGTAAATATGCTATAATTTTATCATTACACATTATTCGTTTCAATGCTTTCTTGAACCAAAAAAAATGCTTTTAAAGAATTTACTTTTACAAAGGGCAAAGGTTTGTTAGAGCATTTTTGATGGGATTCAAGGGGGAAAAAGAATGGACAAACGGGTAAAATGGAGTAGGAACAGGAAGGCTAAATCCTCAACTGCATACACTCTAACATGGATTAATTACAGTTAACGACACAAATATGATCTTCATAACTGTAACTCAAACATTCATAACTTGCTCTATGTCACTTTGTCTATTGCCTTTTTGCTAACATCTTGCTAAAATTAGAAGCTAAGAGCTGGAAATCTTATTGAGCTCCCCAGAAAAGAGACATTTTATCTGATTTCTGATGAGTGGGAAGA